GCCCACCCCAAAAAGAAAAAAAAAAAAAAAAAACCTTTAAAAAAAAAAAAAAAAAAAAAAAAACCTGTTTAACCCAATTCAACATAATACAATGAAATGAAACAAAATGCCTCCTAAGCCATGTAAATGATTACCTGCTTGGGTAAAGTTAGGTTGTGGGTGCTCTCGCTATAACCAATCGCAGTGAAGAGCTTATCTTTTTCCTCTGGAGTCATAAGGTCATCAATAGCTGTGACGAAAAGACAGTTTATGAAGAAATCAATTGTTTTAGTTTTACAGACACCGCGGAAAAGACAGCCAAACTAACCAGTGTGCTAAAATTGATAGGCCCAGATGCTACAGCAAAAGCAGCTGGGTCATTTTCCCCAACGCCCTGTTGGACTAGTTAAAACAAGCATCTGTGTTTGCTTGCATAGGTTAAGACAAGGCAAGGACACACAACTAAGACAATTCGGTTCTCAGAAGAATTTTCAAAGTCCCAAAGTATTTTAAAACTTAAGTGAAACCTGTAATTTAATGCTCATGTAAAAGGTAACAACAAGGAATGCTGAATGAAGAGAACACTAAATTTAAAACATTTACATTTGACATAAATTGTTTTTCTCAAGAAAACTGGTTTTATTTTAGTTAGATAAATGCAGCAAGGTTCCAGCATGCTGTCTTTGCTTATATGTTTACTAACCTGAGCTAATTTCATTTATTGAGTTTTATTTCAACAGGCTAAGACAAAATTTTGCAGTTTTCTTATCGCTGTACAGTAAATTATGTGACATGGAGCTTACTTTCAGGAATCAATGATTCTTCGTCTTTTTTCTTAGACTCCTTCTTGCCCCAAAACCCGCTAAACCAGCCTCCACGTTTCTCGCCCGTGTCAGCAGACTTTTTTCTTAATTTTTGCCCAGACCTAATTACCTAAAAAACAAAAATTTAAAAATTTAATTGAAGAATAATGCTCTCTTCATTTTCAAGTGTAGCCAGGTAAGTATAATCATTTCATTTTTAGCACTATAGATTAAAGAGTCTGAAACGTCAATTCCTTCTTAAACGATGCTTTCAATATGGTTTGGTTAATGTAATCCCCTCATTAATTTACTTCTGAAATCAACTTCGAACATTTTGAATGAGTCTGCACTTACCAGCAAGATTGTTAACATTTCAAGTCAAATTTTTCTGAGCAAGGTGACTTCCAAATCTTTAAGCTAAGAAGTCACTAGAATTACAGGTTTCTAAGATAAATAAAAAGGTCTCTGAAAGGAAGATGAATCCAAAAGATGTTAGTTCAAAATAGTATTCAGAATTCACATACTTTGCTGGCTGCCAACTGGGAACAAAGGGATATAAAAATAGTCCTTAGCGGCCAGCAGGTGGTGTGGTCGTTGAAGCACTGGACTCCCACATAGCTGATCGAGGTTTGAGTCCTAGACCTGACAGCTTGCTTTCTCACTTTCTCTCTCTCTGTCTCTCACTAGTCACATTTTTAAAAAATAATAATGCTAATAATAATTAATAAAATTAAATAAGTAATTTTTTTTTAGAGAGAGATTTTTTTGCTATAGGGCACATGCAATCACCAGAGAGACAGAAAGTTAGAAATCATTCCCCTGGAGGATGGCCACACCGAAATCCCTTCTACCCCACTGTCCTCTTGGGATCTCGGACACACACACACACACACACACACACACACACACACACCCAGCATGAGGTTAAAGCTACCAGGTGCAGGACTCAAACCACGGTCGACTATGTGGGAGTCAAGTGACATAACTATTATGCCATCTGCTGGTCCCAAATAAATAATTCTTTTAAAACAAACAAAAATAGTCCTCAAAGCCAGCAGGTGGTATACTGGTTAGGGCACTGGACTTCCACATGGCCTACCACAGTTAAGAGTCCTGAAGCCGTAGCTTGCTTTCTCACTTTCTTCCTCTCTTTCTCTCTGTCTCTGGTCAAATTAAAAAATAATAATAATACAACAAATAAAATTAAATAATTATTTTTTTAAAAATAGCCCTCAAATTCATTTTCTCAATTTATCCTGACTTGCTTTTCTGTTGCTCCTTCTCTTGGCCTAGTTTACAGTAAAATACACATGAATAATGAAAAAACAGGGAGGCAAGCAGGTGGCATTGTGGGTGAAGTGCTGGACTTCTACATGGCTGACTACACCTCAAGTCCCAGAACTGACAGCTTGCTTTCTCACTTACCCTTTCACTGTCTCTCTCTAATCACATTTTAAAAATAGGGGCCAGCAGGTTGCATAGTAGTTAAGGTGTTGGACTCCCACATGACCAACCATGGTTTGAGTCCCTGATCCAAAGGCTTGAAACTCATACTGGGCACATGAACATGTGTGCCCAAAATCCTAAGACGAGGGTGGAGAAGGGGCTGCGACATGGCCACCCCCCAGGAAATGATTTCTCACTTTCTGTCTCCCTGTGTCTCTCTGTCTCTCCAACAAGCGTGCACATGCCCTATAGCAAAAGTCTCTCTAATGACAAGAACAAATAAAATTAAATAATTTATTTAAATTACCCTTAAAAAATTTTAAGACAGCAGAAAACTTTAAAATTATAACTATACATGGAAACACATGCACATCTTTGAATTTCCTTTTTTTTTTTGAGAGGTTTTTGCTATAGAGTGCATGCGCTTGCCAGATAGACAGAGACAGAGAGACAGAAAGTGAGAAATCACCCCACAGGGGGGATGGCCATGCCACAATCCCTTCTCCTCCATTCTCCTCTCAGGATCTTGGGCGTGCACACACACGTGCCCAGCATGAGTTTAAGACACCGGGTCCGGGACTCGAACCGCAGTCGACTACATGGGAGTCCGGCAACATAGCCATTACACTAACTGCTAGTCCCTGAATTTCTTTTTTCTTTTCTTTTGGAGAGGTTTATGCTACAGGGCGTGTGTGCTCGCCAGACAGACAAAGACAGAGAGACAGAAAGTGAGAAATCACCCCACAGGGGGGATGGCCATGCCACAATCCCTTCTCCTCCATTCTCCTCTCAGGATCTTGGGCGTGCACACACACGTGCCCAGCATGAGTTTAAGACACCGGGTCCGGGACTCGAACTGCAGTCAACTACGTGGGAGTCCAGCGACATAGCTATTATGCTAACTGCTGGTCCCTCTGGTCCCTGAATTTCTAAATTCACTAACAAAAAAAGGAGAAAGAGAATAAAAGAGGTAAGTAATTTAGAACTTCATGTTCTCACTCTCTGAATAAACAAACTTTAAAATTTTTCCCAACTTAGAATTTAAATATTGTGAATTGACAACATATCGTAAGGCTCTGTGTGTAATAAAGTGAAATAATCCAAAAGAAATGTTAGAAGAAAACAGCTGCACTGTCCGGCAGAGAACAGGTTTGGTTAGTGAATGTAAAGACTACACGTGGGGAAATGGGATTCTGTGTCACCCGCCGTGGATGAGTGCACACTGGCAGTGAATGCCAAGTCAGCCATTGTGCATCCACCACTCAGCGGTGTGAGCTCAATTCCTTGTTGTGCACAAAAACCATTAAAATGCGGGACCAGCAGATAGATGTAATGGTCACATCACCGGACTCCCACCTGGCCAACTGCAGCTTGAGTCCCAGACCCGGAGGAAAAAATTTTAAGACAGCAGAAAACTTTAAAATTATAACTATACATGGAAACACATGCACATCTTTGAATTTCCTTTTTTTTTTTGAGAGGTTTTTGCTATAGAGTGCATGCGCTTGCCAGATAGACAGAGACAGAGAGACAGAAAACAAGAAATCACCCCCCAGAGGGGATGGCCTCACCACAATCGCTTCTCCTCCTTTCTCCTCTCGGGATCTTGGGCACACACGCACACGCACCCAGCGTGAGTTTAAGCCACTGGGTCCGGGACTCGAACCGCAGTCGACTACATGGGAGTCCGGCAACATAGCCATTACACTAACTGCTAGTCCCTGAATTTCTTTTTTCTTTTCTTTTGGAGAGGTTTATGCTACAGGGCGTGTGTGCTCGCCAGACAGACAAAGACAGAGAGACAGAAAGTGAGAAATCACCCCACAGGGGGGATGGCCATGCCACAATCCCTTCTCCTCCATTCTCCTCTCAGGATCTTGGGCGTGCACACACACGTGCCCAGCATGAGTTTAAGACACCGGGTCCGGGACTCGAACTGCAGTCAACTACGTGGGAGTCCAGCGACATAGCTATTATGCTAACTGCTGGTCCCTCTGGTCCCTGAATTTCTAAATTCACTAACAAAAAAAGGAGAAAGAGAATAAAAGAGGTAAGTAATTTAGAACTTCATGTTCTCACTCTCTGAATAAACAAACTTTAAAATTTTTCCCAACTTAGAATTTAAATATTGTGAATTGACAACATATCGTAAGGCTCTGTGTGTAATAAAGTGAAATAATCCAAAAGAAATGTTAGAAGAAAACAGCTGCACTGTCCGGCAGAGAACAGGTTTGGTTAGTGAATGTAAAGACTACACGTGGGGAAATGGGATTCTGTGTCACCCGCCGTGGATGAGTGCACACTGGCAGTGAATGCCAAGTCAGCCATTGTGCATCCACCACTCAGCGGTGTGAGCTCAATTCCTTGTTGTGCACAAAAACCATTAAAATGCGGGACCAGCAGATAGATGTAATGGTCACATCACCGGACTCCCACCTGGCCAACTGCAGCTTGAGTCCCAGACCCGGAGGCTTGAAACTCACACCAGATGTGTATGCATGCGTGCCCAGGATCTCGAGAGGAAAGTAGACAAGAAGGGATTGCAGTGTGGCCATCCCCACGGGGGGTGATTTCTTGCTTTCTGTCTCTCTGTCTCTCTGGAGAGCACACATACCCTATAGCAAAAATCTCTCAAAAAAAAAAAAATCATTAAAATACTTTTTTTTAAAATGTCAAAGCCCCACTACACACCAAATAATTCAAAGTTTGCGGGAGTGGGTTCCAGGCATTGATTATTTCTTTTTTAATTTTATACATCAAATCACTATACTTCACTTAGCTTGTAAAGTGAATTTTACATGAATACACTTCACATCAGTCCAGGTGAGCACACTATACACGTTATCATCAACAGATAATGATCCATGTCTGTGTCCCATAAATGCCTTTCCTCTCTGTTTTTCTCCTCAATGTCTTTCCTCAGACTCTCCTCCCTTAAATTCCCTTAGTGATTCTAACGGGCGGCTAGGGTTCAGAAGCACTGAGATGACAAGCGAGTTTCCTTCAACAACAGCAGAGGTCAGCCAGCAGGGACTTTAACTGCCTTGACAGTTTCACAGGGAGGTGAAGCCATGCCACCCTGAAAAGATACCAAATTAGATGTATATGATCTGAGCTTTAAAGAAGCTACTATCACTTCTCTCAGGGAAAATTAAACCAGACTGCAAGCTTAAATCTTTCTTTCAAAACTTCATGAAGAGGTGGATTTATGAATAGTTCTTTATAAATCTCAATATAGAAAACACTATAAAGCGAATATTTTATTAAAATCTTTTCAAGTCAACTGATAGTTTTTAAAGGGCAGGTACTACATTGTTTTGGCTTTTAAATTTATTTACTTATGTTTCCCATGAGCGACACAGAGAAAGAGAAAAGAAAGAAAAACAAACACCCCTAGCAGGGTCCTCAGACTGTGATCCAGCCCGTCTCAGGAAGGAGTAAGAGAAGAAACAAAGGGGAAAATAAAGTAAAAGAAACGGAGGATGAAAAGCACAACTGAGTAGGCATATAAGCACGGGAGAAAAGCTGAAAGCCTACATGTCAAAATTTTAACAGAACTCCGAGTTGCCAGGGTTATGGGTTACTTTTGAAGTTTTTCAAATTCACAGTTATAAAACGTTTTAAGTTTTTTCTCAGTCACAATAGTGGCTTTCTCCTAGTATTCCAGTTTGTTCTTTGAGATTAACGTAAGTGATTTAAAAATCAATTTCTATTCTCAACTGGGTAGATCTCAACAACTTACCGTGAAACTTTGACTTCTTGATACTCAGTTTATTAAGAGTAATATGTTTAAAATATAATATGTTAAATATGTTTAGTACGTTTAAAATATAAAACCAGTTAATAAAGAGTGATTACCTCAACTTGTGCTTGTTGCCTTGCTAAAACTATGTTAAAAACATCTAGAGTCTTCTCCAAGTCCTGTAAAACAAAGAGATACATGTAGACAAGAAAAATGATCATTAAAGAATTTTTTCTATGATTTCTAGACTTATCTCCTCCACTACCAACGATTGTGATCTAATGAAATTATAACTATAAATGTGAACATACACTGGCCTTTTGAATTTTAATTTTTACAGTTAAGAGAAAAATTTTCCAAAAAAACTTCATTAAATATAGTATAAAAATTAAAATTTTTCTGTAGGACCACTCTAATTCTTAGATAGCCAAACATGTGTACAGTAACAAGAATATTTAGGAAAGAGATTTGTTCTAGGTATTACCTTTATGATTCCTATTTCTTACTTTTCTCTCTTTATTTTACAACCACTGTACTAAAAGCACATTATAAAACACACGAAATTTAAGAATGTAAAATTCTGCACATCAACAAGTAGGCTAAAGTGGAAACTGATTTGCGGAATTTATACCAAAGTAGGTAGGAAAAATCTAACATTTACTGGGGATCTGTCTAAGTGCTTCCTGTGTTATTTCAGGCAATTCTCCAGCTCTGTGAAACAGACACTGTCTCCGTTTTACACATGAGAACACCAGACATGGGAGGCTGTGAAACCTGTGGCCATGGCCCTCAGAACACCTGGCTCAGTATCTAAACCAGCACACGAACCCAAGTCCACCAGGCCCCAACACCTACAGTATTCCTGATACATCACAGTGGTGGCCTGTCACATTATTTCAGAGTAAGAATTCGATTCACTCCTCACATTGCAGTCAGTGGCAGAAACAGTTCTTTAACCTAGATCATATCATATTAAGTAAATCTTGCATTCAGTGTGTGTTTTACATATTTTAAAAGAGGGTAAATAAGATTCTTCTTTCTCAAGTAGTAAAAGCTGTTTTATGTAAATATTAAGTCATCGGGAAAGTCATAATGTATTTTTCTATGCAAAAATGCATCATGATTTTTTCCAACAACCCAATAAAATATAGCTAGCTGATATATATATATAGATAGATAGATAGATAGATAGATCTAGATATATATATATATATATACACACACACACATATACACATATATATGTATATAAACAGCTCTGATATTTACTTTATAAACATTACTGTAAAAACTAGATACATTTTCTCTAGGTAATTTACAACCATGTTTTATCTATTACTAGAATGAAAAAAAGGGGATTTTTTTCTTTAAAGAGGGGAAAAAATAGTCTGCATTTTCCTATAATTCTCTCTCAAAAAGAGATGAGTTCTGTCCTTTCTAAAATTATATTTTATTTTATATTAAATGCAGAATACGACTAAAGAACTGTTAGACAGATAATAGCTCTACTACATGAGACATATACCTGAATTTCTTTCAGTATTTCTTCTGACATTTTCGTTTGGGTTAACTTGTTTTTGTAGGCAATTTTGTAACTCTTAAGTAACTGCCTGTGCTTTTTTATGTTACTCCAGGACCACATCTGTGTGTATCTTCTTATATGAACTTCAAGAACAGAATCAATTGCATATTTCCACCTGAAAATCAAATTTCATTAATGCATATATGAATATAAAGGCTTATGAAAATGAAGGAAATAACTTTGAATTTTTAGATAGTACACTGTTAAATTTTTTTGTTCTTAACTGTCTCCTTGTAAGAGCTTAGCAAGGACATTTCAAGTAATACTAGTTCCCTGACTTACATAGATTTAAGGAAACCCTTTAGGAAGAGGGTGTACCAAAGTGAAATCACAAGTCACAAAGCAGGATGTTGGGAGAAAGTCATAGTAATCCCAGTACAGTTCCGACACCAAGTCCTTGGGAATGTCTGATCAACAATAAGACTTTAAAATGCTAAAAGTCTCAAATACTAAAAGTCTCAAATACTAAGTTTAAAAACCAGGACTGTAGAAGCAGGAGTAGAAGAGGATATGTTTATAAAAAAAAAAGTGACAAGGACATAGAAAAGACATCCCTCTTTTGCCTATTTAAAAACATACATGTAGCCAGATTGCATGGCTTTAAAGCTCTCTGAACTCTGAGACCCTAAGCATGTAAGTATGTGTTTCTCAGAAAATATAAAATTCTAACTTACCATTGCCGACAATTGGTGTGAAGAGGTAAACAAGGCTTATACTTCCTGTAAGGAGCATTTCTAACCATGTAATCCACCGACTCCAAGAGGTCGATCATACTTAAGTACTAGTAAAACAAAAACGAGCTTTTATTTATTACATTGTACGCAAGAAAAAAGACCAAATTTTATTCTACTTTTCAGACTACTCAGACTCTAACTTCCCTAAATATCATTGCCTGTTGACACAATGGCATATTTTATCAAATTTAAAACAGTTATAAGTTGTTTCATAATTTTTAGGTTCCATCACCAAAAAAAAAAAAGAGTGTTGCGATTAAACTGTCAGATTACTAATACTATATTTCCTATTTTCAGAGATGTTAAAATATGAAATAAATCTGCTGACATGGAACATGTCGCTCAAACTGCATATATTTCCTCTAGACCTGAGAGCTGCAAATAACAGCAGCTATCTATAAGAGGATTCTCATCTTATTTCTGCTACAGAAATGTGCTGTGTATGCAAGGTAACGTTACTTAAGGACCCAGCTTTCTACCAGCACAGCGACTTTATGTGCACGTTTATCAGAGCTGGAGGGAAACACGTGCACACGCACCACACCCACAGAGATAACAACTGCGGGAAAAATAAAGGGGCAAGTCCGGTTTTCTCCTCATTTCCCTGAATGCAATTATACCTAAGGCTTACCTACCATGTGGCTTTTTGGCACATGAAATATATCTAGTTTCAACTTGAATGTATCCTAAGTGTAAAATATACTACAGGTTTCAGAGACTTAAGGGGAGGGGAAAAAAAGATGTAAAAGAGTTCTTTATAATGTTTTACTCTGATTATATGTTGGAAGTTTTTTTAAGCATTAAGCTAAAAAATGTTATTAGAGTTAATTTCACCTTTTTCTCCTTTGCTAACTAGCTGCTATTTCCAAGATCTGAAACTATAAAAATAACTTGCATTATATCTTTATTGGGCCAGCCTGGCTAAAAAGTTCACTTAGCTTAGCCTCCGGTCCTCCTCGGACTTCTAGTTCTCCAGGGATGCTACCCAAACTCTCTGGGAAACAAACAGGGGAAAAAAAAAAAAGCTGCCCACATGTTTGTTCTAAAAACTGATAAACAAGGCCAGCTTAGTATAAAACAGTCATGTGCAGTTCAGGCGAAGCTGGATCCTACAGAAGACCATGAGTTCCACTCCCCAGGTTGACCATCACATGCCAGGCATATGCACCTGTGATTCTCGTTGGCTAAAAAGGCTGGGGTGGGTCACCATGAGACCATGTTGAGAGTACTTGTCTTTCTCTGTCATTCTCATGAAACATTTTTTTTTAATTAAAGAAATAATTTTTTTCTTCCAAATTACTGCCATAGGGCACAAGTGCTCACAGGAGAGAGAATGTGAAAAATCACCCCATGGGAAAATGGATACAATCCAATCCCTTCTTCCGTTATTCTCTCAGGATTTGGGGCATGCATGCACACGCACCTGGCATGATTTTCAAGCCACTAGGTCTGGTACTTGAACCGTGGTCAGTCATGTGGGAGTCCAGCACCCCAATCACTGTGCCAACCACAAGCCCCAAGAAATAATTTTATTTTTTTTGGAGAGGTTTTTGCTAGAGGGCACATGCACTCACCAGAGAGACAGAGAGAGACACAGAGACAGAAAGTGAGAAATCACCCCCCAGGGAGGATGGCCATGCCGCAATCCCTTCTCCTCCATTCTCCTCTCGGGATCCTGGGCACACACGTACACGCGCCCGGCGTGAGTGTAAGACACCAGGTCTGGGACTCGAACCTCAGTCGACTACGTGGGAGTCCAGCAACATAGCCATTACGCTAACTGCTGGTCCCCCCAAGAAATAAATTTTAATGTAAGAGTCTCTGTTATTAAAAACTGATGAGAGGGACCAGCAGGTAGCATAGTGGTTAGGGTGTTGGACTCCCACATGGCTGACTGCAGTTTGAGTCCCAGATCTAGTACCTTGCCTTTTCACTTCCCCTCCCTCTCTCCCTGCTATCCTCCCTCCCTTCCCCTCTTTCTGGCAAGTGCACATGCCCTGCAGCAAATCATAAATAATAATAAATAAAACTAAAAATTTTTTTAAAACTGAGGAGAGAAAAACACATTAAAACCCCCATCAACAATTATGAATTTTATGGAAATAATGTCATGCATTACATTTTGATAAGATACTCCACCATATATTTAAAAAAAAAATTCAATGTAGGAAACTATCACTTAAATTTCAAATTTATTTCATAAAAAAAAAAAAAAAGATTTAAAGAGTGAAATGTCAACATAATGAACCAAAAGAACCACCAGACCATTACGAAAGGAGTGATCACAGAAGATAGCAGCAGTGACGGTTCAAGCCTTGTCAAAGCTAGGAAGGTCCATCTGGATCTCACCTGAGGCTTGGTCAGTTCAATGGCAATGTTTTGTACTTCTATGTTCCAATCCAGCTTTGGTGTTTTAAGTTCTGTTTCTGCGTAAGGATTCATGTAGAGTTTTGCAGAGGCTGATATTGGCTGGAAAACTTGTGTCACATGAGAAAACAGAACGTATGTTTATATGCTTTTATATATTAACAACTGTAAATAATTATGAGAACACTGTTACTCTAAAAGTAAAGAAAAATGATCAAAAATCTGTATAAGAAAATCACTACCTTAATATATTCAAGTATTTATTCGTCTGCAGAAATCTGATTGTAAAGTCAATGGTTAAAGTGGAATCCACGGTGGAAATTGGACTCCTTATGGTTCTAGGTAAGAAATGTGCAAAACCCAACCTATTCTTGATTATTCACAGTATGCATGAAATTAGGCTTCTCTTTCTTGGACAATATATTTAATTATTTACTACTCATTAAATATAACACAGGGACCAGCAGATGGTGTAATGCTTATGTCACTGGACTCCTGTGTGGTTAACCATGGTTCAAGTCCCAAACTTGGCAGCCTGGAACTCACACTGGGCACATGTGTGTGCACGCCCAAATCCTAAGAGGAGAATGGAGGAGGGACTGCAGTGTGGCCGCCACCCCACAGGGTAATATCTCACTTTCTGTCTCTGTCTCTCCAGCAAGCTCATGTGTCCTATAGCAAAAATCTGTCTCAAAAAAAATAATATTAATAATAATAATAATACAAGGAAGAAAAGAAAATCAGGATAATCTGTCTTTCTTTTAATTTTTTCTTTTTTATGTTTTTTCCATAGGGTAACGTGTACTCAGCAGGGAGAGGCAGTGAGAGGGATTGCCACAATCCCTTCTCCTCCATTCTCCTCCTGGGATTTTGGGCACACATGCAAATGACCCAGCATGATTTTCAAACTGCCAGGATTGGGCCTCAAACCGGGATTCAGCCATGTGGGAGTCCAGCACTTTAACATAACTACCACAGCATCTGCTCACCCCATCTCTGTCTTATTTAATCACTAGCAGAATTTAGGTACAGAATCATGAATAAATCTCATTTACATAGAAAACTGCTCACCACTTTGATTGTCACAATGATCCTTGTATACATAATCTCATAATCAAATAAGGAAATATTTGAGTTTGAAAAACAGTATAAAAAGGACACAATGAAGGCAGAGGTAAGGTAATAAATTTTACCTATGAATAGTATTAACACTACCTAAGTAGTAATATCTTATGGCAATCACAATTTGCATAAGATTGCAAAAAATGTCTTAACTGATTAACAGGTTATTTATAAATGGAAAATGTCTAAAAATAAAGTAGAGCTTTCTAAACAAGTTCTTTCACCAGCGAAAGAAGTGCTTTCACATACAGGCAGCAGTTGGCGACTCTGCCATTAAACAAAGGGGTTTATGAACAGAAGAAAGGGCCAGCTATCATCTGATGGCAATCACTACAAAACAACGTACAGAAAACAAGTGTGGAGCCGGCAGGTGACAGGGTGGTTAAGGCATGTGGCTGAGTCCTGGATCTGGCAACTTGCTTTCTTTTTTTTTTTTTTAGGTTTTTGCTATAGGGTGCATGCGCTCACCAGACAGACAGACAGAGACATAGAGACAGAAAGCAAGAAATCACCCCCCAGGGGGGATGGCCATGCCGCAATCCCTTCTCCTCCATTCTCCTCTTGGGATCTTGGGCACACACACACACGCCCAGCGTAAGTTTTAAGCCACCGGGTCCGAGACACGAACCGCAGTCGACTACGTGGGAGTCCAGCGACATAGCCATTACGCTAACTGCTGGTCTCTGGCAACTTGCTTTCTCACTTTCCTTTTCTCTCACTGTCTCTCTCTGGTTAACTTCAAAAAAATAAAATAAAATAATGATAACAAATAAAATTAAATTAAAATAATCTTAAAAAAAGTAAACCAAAGTAAACCAGCTATATGGAACACAAGAGTAAAAGGGCATGAATGTTGAGAACAAACAAAAAGGGGCCCCCCAAGTAAAAACAAATCCATACTTCTTTAGGAAAAAATGGAGAAAACCAATGGGATTAGTAAATATCAGTAAATAAGCAAGCAACTTTATCAAGGACCTTTAAAATAAGTGAGACTGGAGGCCAACAGGTGGCATGGTAGTTAAGGCGCTGGACTCACACATAGCTAACCATGGTTCAAGTACCAGACCTGGGAGTTTGCTTTCTCACTTTCCATCTCCCTTTCTCTCTGTGTCTCTCTCTGGCCAAATTAAGTAATAGTAATAATAATAATAAATAAATAAAAGTAAATAAAATAATTCTTTAAAAAAAAAAGATGAGACTGCCAAAAAGTAAAAACACTCACTTTAAAGAAAGAAAAAAATGTCCAGAGTGGCTGGTTTATCGTAACACTACAATGGTGACATGCAGGGGTGACCTGAATACCAACACATCAGAAACATAGTTTTTAGGGGGTTTTTTAAGAGAGATTTTTGCCATAGGGTGAATGTACTTGCTATAGAGAGAGACTGAGAGACAGAAAGCAAGAAATCATCCTCCGGGGAAGATGGCCATGCTGCAATCCCTTCTCCTCCTTTCTCCTCTCAGGATTTGGGGCGCACATGCACATGCACCCTGTGTGAGTCTTAATCCACCAGGACCAAGACTCAATCCCCAGTTGACTACATGAGAATCCATAAACTTAACCATTATGCCAACTGATGGTCCCAACCCAGTTATTTTTGTTAAAGAAAGAAAACCTAAATCCTAAAACCAAGAATATGACAAGAAGAAAACATGGACATCAAAGGCTAGCTGTGAGGCATTAACTTCAGCTGGACTAGCATTCTATCTTATTCTCTAGCAGTGTATGTATTATAACCTAATCCGACATAATTAGTTATAATCCAAACATTATGTATCGTAGAACTAAGACACAGCTCTATCCATCATGGTGCAGGGGTGAAGCCACATGGAATATCAGGATGTGGTTGCCAGGTCAACCTGTATGTACTGGGCACACATGTGTCCAGGATCCTGATGGGAAGGGCTTGGGGAGAAACACAACGTGAAGCTCTGCTAAGGGTCCTTGTCTTTCTCTCTTTCTCTCTCTGCCTTATGAAAGATATAAACTTTTGGCAGGGGGTGGGGGGAGTTTCTAGGGTATAAAATTGCATTTGTCCAAATAACTACTGAGCAGAGCTCATGCTGTGCACAGAAAGCCAGAGCCTACATGGCCGACCACATTTCCAGTCCTGGCCCTGACAACTAGAAACTACACCAGGTGCATGTGCACGTGTGCTCAAATCCTGATGGGGTGGGGAGAGATGGAGGGAAAGGACTGAGGTGTGACCACCCCTCACAGAGACGATTTCGCATTCGCTAGTGCTCGCTCTGTCACTCACTCTCTCTCTCTCTGGCAAGCACATGTGCCCTCTGGCAATTTTTTTTTAATTCTATTAAAAATATCTCTAACAGAAAAAATATATTAAAATGCAGCATTTTATTCCATGTTTCTCTCTATGATAGGATAAACTTTTACCATTACTTACTGTATTGATGGTTTAAGGATATATTTCTACTTGTACGAATTTCACTTTTCAGCTGATCCTAAAGAAAACATTTTAATTACATGAGAAATAAAAAAGAAAATGCACACATATTCAGCCACACACACAAACAAAAAAAAATCTTGGTTCTTACATCAATATCTTTATTTCTTTTTTTGTGACCGGTAGTCCATAAGAAAAATATACTGGGCATTACTTACAGCTTTATTTCTTTAGTATAAAGACACAGAAGCAGTTAATTTAAATTTTTTTAAATATCTAGAAACACATAGGATTGTACTTCCTTCTGACTCTCGGGGAAAAAAACATATATACATATACATTCATGAAATGCGATCTCAAACACTTTCTAGTTAAAGGCAAATTATTCATTGTAGTATTTTTCTGAGAACCAAGAGCTAAAACCTTAAAATTAATCCAGTTCAGAAAATACAACTGACATTCCTTTCTCCTTTAAGTAAATAAATACAACTATGATTTGTTTAGCAAATTAAAAGTTGAGAATTAGTCTTCTACCAGTCAGAAAATTATCATCACAAATGCTTAAAATATTTGCCACAGATATGTGCTTCAGATTTCAAAGGGATCATCTTTCTTTAACATAATCATTTAGTAATGAAGTAATAGTTCTTATACAAAATGTCACAATGTAACAAGAATATCTTCAAAATGAAAGTGTAAAAAAAACTCAAATGCAGTTTTAATTTAATAGTATAGCTGTTTCAAGTACAAACTGAAATTACCAAGATCTGTTCCCTTGATCCCTGGTAAGACATGCTGCAGTTCACGTTCCAGTAGGCACTAAGACTATCGAGCCGTATAAGCTGTAAAGAGAAGTAAGACTGGTCAAACCACCAACACACTGAAATCAGGCATCGATCTTAAAGGATTATTACCATGTTTACCTCTCCAAAAACTACCTGACTGCCACTGTGAGCCTTTAAAGGAAATAAAAGAATGCAAAAATAGGGAGAAATATATTTATGTTATTCATAGACTTTATTTAATACATTGAGTCAAATATTTGCTAAATTGCACTTCCAGGAGCACCATTTAAAACGTATGCATTGATCCTTTTATCAAATATTAATTGAGAATTTAGGGCTTCAGAGACTCTGAAAATGTTTGCTGAGTAAGGAAAACATGATCCCTCGGGCAGATATAAAAGACTATTTCCAGGGGAGAGGTGGTAGGAGAGGTTCCTATGATCAACAATATACATACTAAATATCCCTCTTGGAGATGCACTATTTGCTATTATTTTAAAAGTATAGCTTAAAACAAAAATGTAGGGTTTTTTCTAATGAAACATACCTGCTTAATTATATATAGTTTAATACTTTCTTTAACCAGTAATATTTTTTAAGAGGATTTTGCTATAGGGCACATGTGCTCGCCACAAAGACTGAGAGACAGAGAGACAGAAAGTGAGAAATCACCCCCCAGGGGGGATGGCCACGCACAATCCCTTCTCCTCCATTCTCCTCTCAGGATCTTGGGCACGCACACACACGCACCCGGCGTGAATTTAAGCCACTGGGTCCAGGACTTGAACCGCAGTCGATTAAAAGTATAGCTTAAAACAAAAATGTAGGGTTTTTTCTAATGAAACATACCTGCTTAATTATATATAGTTTAATACTTTCTTTAACCAGTAATATTTTTTAAGAGGATTTTGCTATAGGGCACATGTGCTCGCCACAAAGACTGAGAGACAGAGAGACAGAAAGTGAGAAATCACCCCCCAGGGGGGATGGCCACGCACAATCCCTTCTCCTCCATTCTCCTCTCAGGATCTTGGGCACGCACACACACGCACCCGGCGTGAATTTAAGCCACTGGGTCCAGGACTTGAACCGCAGTCGACTACATGGGAGTTCAGCAACAGCCATTACGCAACTGCTGGTCCCTAGCCAATAATATTTGACTAGAGAATATTTTTCCAACATCTAGTAATATCTCAATTACCCACCACTTCATAAAATAACCACCGGAGAAATATTAAATTGTGTTGTTTCCTCACTTGAGAGATGACAAACCTAAACCTCAGAATGGCACGCCATTAGAGATGGCCACACAGTAAGTAGAGCCAGAACTAGACCCTAGGCTAACACTCAACGGCACATTCTTCTACATCGGGGTTTCTTCATGAAAATGAACTGTTCGCACATAGGAAACTAATGAGCAATTTTGATTCGGGTATATACCTTGTATATAATTTTTTCTGCTTCATTTAATATGCATGGAGTCCAATGTTCATTTGCAGTCTAAAAGGAAAAAAAAAAGTAATTGTGAAATGTGGACTATATGTCCCGTAATGGTGCTCTAACATCAGTAAATTGTAAAAAAATAACTTAGGAGTAAAAGGCAGCTAGCTAGTGCTGACTGTTAGCTGTGTTCCTTTACAATCACGCACGCCTTCACAAGTATACACCCTGGGAAAGGTGTCCTAGGAGATTTCACTGCTGCGTGAACATCGCAACGTACACACCAATCCTGAACGCATAGCCTACGATATACCTGTATTCTATGGCACACTCTCATGGGGATGCCACCAAATACGCAGTCCACAGCTGACCAAAATTTATATTTATATAGTAAAATTAAAGAAACAATGAAAAAGGCTTGAAGAAGTTCTAACTTAACTGAGTCTGCTCATTCGGAAAATAATTAATAGGCTGCTATCTGTCTAAATTGTGGCAATAACTGGGTATGAATAAAAACTGAGATCCACCCTATATGATAGTAAAGAAGGTTCTTAAAATGATTATTATAAAGCAGAAAAACAGGAGAATATGGAAATCACAGCATGATCACGATTCTAGAAGCTCAGTGTAGTCAGCAATGCCAAACACCAAGTTTATTCGGCAGAAGGAGTGATATTAACTTGTCAAAAAAAATTTCGGCTCAGTATCCACTGCATGGGGAGTAAGCGGGAGGTGAGGACAGAAGGACAGCAAAGGTAGAAAATCCTCTCCAAGGGTCTGGACAGTCAGATGGGGATTAGGTGGGCATGATTAAGGAGAAGCTTTAGTATTTTGCTGCAAAGGAGAGACTCGAATGTGTTTAAATACTTACAAGAAGGAATGGAGGAAGCAAGAGAGAAAGGGAGAAAGAACAGAGTTGAAGATTTAGCAAAAGGGAGAGAACTCAGCGGAAAGAAAGAAGAAAAGGAGGCAGAGAGGGCAGCAGGCAGGGAGGGAATAGAGTCCTGAGGACATGGGGCGGGAAGCCATGCAGAGAGAAGTAGACCAGATCAGAGGGGGGAAGATTACTATAGACGAAGAGTTACACTGTGATCGGAAAGAGAGAGAACAAAGCAGGATGGATACAAAAGAGGTAAGTTTGCTATTTTTGTCAGTATAATAGACACTGAAGTTGTAGAGGCAGGGAAAATGAGGGAGAAAATGTGCCAAGTGCTAAGTGTATAAAGCATTTAATCATCACAAGAACTGGACGCATACACGACAGAAATTTCACTTCCCCTACTTTTTCCACATGTTTAAGATACAGCTTTTAGTTCTTTTAAACTGTCTGATACTGTTACTTTGATAGTAGTTACATAGAAAGAACTCAAAATAGTGATAAAATATAATAAAAAATCACTAAAAATGTTAAATTCCACAAAAGCCATAATGAAAAAACACATTACCAAAAAAAAAAAAATAGCTATTTGTAGAGATAGCTTATTTTAGGCAAGTCACTGTATGGCTTTAGAACAGTATTTTACCAGTCCCACAGAAATTGTGAGAAGGCAACATTACCAATAGACTAAGTTCTCCCAACGTGACACCAAATGACAGAGGCCGCTTGGGATCGGTGACCTAGGAAAGCAGAAACGGTGATGTTAAAACACACTGATGGTGAGGGTGAACCCACGCTCTGCCCTTCACAATAAGCACCAGAAGGGACTACTTTGACAGCAGGTCACACAGTCCAACGCATTTGTGGGAAGGAAGGAGAGCAGTGACGCGGCTAAGATGACCCCTACTGTGTAAGCTTGACACTAATATGGGACCTTCTGAGTAAAACTCTTTTTCTTAACAGAAGTAAAAAAGACTCACCTACTATGACTAACAAACTCTTCTCTAGATAGTAAAAAAAATAATTAAGCTGGACCAATGGCCTGGTAGTTAAGGAAGCCAGATTTCACATGACCAAATGCAAGGTTCAAACCCCAGCCCTGGTGCCTGAAAAGCCACACTGGGGGCATTAGGATGGAGAATCAGATGAGAAGGGACTGTTGCATGACCACACCCCAGTGTAGGGTATTTTCTTGTTCTCCTTCTCTTTTTGTCTCCTGGCAAGTATACATACCCACTGAAAAAATGAGGGAGGGAAGTCTTTTTATGGGTATCATTGAATATGTTCTTCACAAATAAAAAAGGGTGTTTCAGATAACACTGCCACTGAATCAGCATTTAAGGTGTTCATACTTAAAAATGTAAACTCTCTCTTTAAAACTTTAATTTTTTTTACACTTTAAAAATGCTTTAAGAAAAACTTCAGATTCTCAATACTCGATTTTCTCATTTCCCCGAGTCTGCGCATGTTAAACTTCTGTTGTATTTCTGATCTTCAAATCTATTCACGGTGATCAAACTGCACCACGATGTACAGTCTCCGTGTTAGATACCTTAAAGGTGTTCAAACGTCACACACAACAGTTTGCTCATGGCAAAAATTAGGGACACTAGGGAGAGAGACAAGGTAGAACCTCCCATTGGATTGTCTGGAAAATCATAACAGATTTTTGCATAGAAAAATACACATGACTTCCCAGACAATCTAATCGATCACCCAGCTGGGCCCCAGCATTTAGTCCCAGGAACCCTTCTCAAACAGAGAAGTGCATGCCGTGGTACAGTTTAAAAGCACAAATAACTTTATCAGCCTCATTTTTAATTAATGTTTGATATGTGTGACATCGGATTTGAGGCAAACATTCTCCTTTATCCCCACATTCATCTTTTATACCTACAGATAACTACTTCAAAAAACTGCAGCTATTTCAGGGGGAACTCTGACGATGCACGGCTCCTCCACTGCTAATGCTCTGCTCATAAACTACTACTGTTATCAAATGAGCATCTTTCTGACAAATCACCCCAGTTTCCCTATCCCACGTCTTACACTGTATTCATTATCCTTCTAGGTGCAATAATTAGGTAATCTACATCCAAAGAGGCATGATAAAAGTAAGAATCCTTGACTCTTTTTAGTTTTTTTTTTTTTCCCTTTTAGGTTATTTTAATACATGGACACTCCTCCCTTAACAAGCAAGTTATGTTCCTACAAAGAGGTCATTATGTGAACCAACTGATAAGCAGCTTACAGATGGATGTCCTGTGGTGTGTCCTGTCACCACGGGGTATGCAATTTTTTTTAAATTACTTTAGGGACCAGCAGGTGGCGAGATGGTTAAGGTGCTGGACACTCCCACATGGCTGACCACGGTTCAAATCCCGGACCTGCCTTGCTTTTTCACTTTCCCTCTCTCTCTCTCTCTCTCTCTGGTGAAATTAAATTTTAAAAAAATTTTAAAAAAAGAATAAAATAAAATAATTCTAAAAAATAATTACCTTATTTCATTTATTATTCTCCAATTGTGTTACAGGGCATACATGCTCACCAGAAAGAGAGAGAGAAAGTGAGGCAGCAAGCCTCCAAGTCCAGGACTCGAACCATGGCCAGCCATGTAGGAGTCCAGTGCCTCAACTACTACCCCACCTGCTGGTCCAAGTTGCATTTTTCAGTAGATACCATGTGACACCACACTAGAATAATGTAATTCTATGCATACAAAACTCACATATTACATAAGGACCAAAAAGCAACAAGACATACCACAATGCAATAGAAAATCTGGCATAACCAATTTTATTTTAAATACCATCATGGGTGGAAACTAAAAGTACAAATTTATAAACAAAATATGTTGTCTCATGTGACTGTGAATGTTTTTTTGCAGTAAATACTAACCTATTGCACGAGGGAAACACAGGCTGGGAAGGGGACCCCTGCACTGGAGGAGTGGCCGTAAGTCCAAGAAGTCATGACACTGGGAGGTCAGTAAGGAGTGGCTGCATTTTGTAGGACAGTAACATAAATGTGATAGATGCTATTTGTCCCACTCCTGTACCAGTCTGTATTCCCTTTTTTAAAGGGAAAGAAACAGGGCCCAGCATATGGCATAACGGTTACATTGCTGGACTCCATGTAGTTGATTGTGACCTGGTGGCTTAAAACTCACACCAGGCCTGTGTTCATGCATCCCAAAATCCCCAGAGGAGAGATGACTGTGGTGTGAATATCTCCCCTGGGGGGTGATTTCTCACTTTCTGTCTCTCTTGCAAGTAAGTGCACGTGGCTTATAGCGAAAATCTTAAAAAAGAAAAAAGAGAAATAAAAAGGAAGAGAAATAAAGTATCTTTCTTATTGTACTTGGGCAATAAAAAGTTTAAGTTATCACAAAGTTTTCATTCAATAATATGCCATTAGTTTTTTGTTATTTTTAAAATTTGTGTGTGGATATCTGCTGTGTGTGTGTGTGTGTGGGGGGGTGTCTGTAGACAGGACCTCCGTATGTCACCACCCTCCTGCCTCAGCCTCCCCAGCTGCTGAGACTATCAGAACCAGAACCTGCCATCGCACCTAGCATTCAGGAGGGGCCAGAAATTAAATCTGGTCCTTCCACACGGCCTTAGCCTGCCAAGCAAAAGCACGCAGCACATATTACCATGACCAGGTCTAATTTTATTTCGGACTGAAAAAAATAATAACTGTATTTACTGATAAGTTCCAATGTCTTGCTTTGACATATTTATATTAATATGTTGTGGAATGATTGAACCAGTCTAATTGATATATCTATCACCTCACGTACTTATGTTTTTATAGTAAAAACATTTTTTGGTTTTTCTTTTCTTTGTTTTTTACGTTTCTGCCATGGGTGTGTGCACTTGCCAGAGAGAGACAGCGAAAGGAAAGTGAGAAATCATGCCTGGGGATATTGCAGCTCTGCAATCCCTTCTCCTCCATTCTCCTTCTGGGATTTGGGGCATGCATGCACACACACACCTGGCATGTTTTTCAAGCCACTAGGTCCAAGATTCAAACCATTCAGCCATGAGGGAGTCCAGTGTCTTACCCATCATGCCACCTGCTGGCCCCAGAATGTCCTTCTTAAAGGCTGAATAGTATTCCATAAATACCACTTTTTTTTAAATCCATTCAACTGTGGATAAGCACCTCGATTGTTTTCATATCTTGGCTGTTGTAAATACACCACAACGAACATGCAAATATAAATCTCTCTCCAACATACTTATTTCAGTTCCTTTAGATAAATACCCAGAAGAAGGATTGCTGGATCATGTAATAATCCTAATTTTTGCTTTTTTTTAGGAACCTCTACACAGTTTCCAAAATACCTGTAGAAATTTAAATTCGACCAACAGTGTACAAGGATTCCCTTTTCTCTGTATAGTTTTAACAATAATTCTTCTACTTCCATACATTGAATACATTTTATATTCTTAAGTGTGTCATAAAGGGTACTTAAGATTCAGGTTTTATTTTTCTTTTAATTTTCCAGAAGGCATGTATACTTGATTGACAAGAGAAAGAGAGAGGGTGAGGGGGAGACAGCAGTTAGCCAGTGTCCTATGTCGCTGGACTCCCATGTAGTCGACCACGGTTCGCGTCCCGGACCCGGTGGCTGAAAACTCACGCCGGACACGTGTGTGTGAGTGCCCAAGATCCCGAGAGGAGAATGGAGGAGAAGGGATTGTGGCGTGACCATCCCCCCTGGGGGGGGATTTCTCGCTTTCTGTCTCTATGTCTCTGTCTGTCTGGTGAGCACACACGCCCTATAGCAAAGAAAACCTCTCCAAAAAAAAAAATAAAAGAGAGAGGGAGAGGGAAAGGAAGGAAGCACCACTCCATGAGGAGTGGCCATGCCGTAATCCCCTCTCCACCTTTCCCTCCTTTCGGGCACGCACGAATACACCCAATGTGTTCTTCCAAGCCACTGGGCCTGAAACTCGAACTGCAGGATCGGCCACATGGGATCCAGCAGTCTTAACCACCAGCCCATGAAACCCAGTGCAAGCTTCCATTTTTTTTTTAAATTTTTTTATTTTTAATTTTATTTGTTATTATTTTATAAATGTGACGAGAGGAGAAAGAGAGAAAGTGAGAGGAAGCCACCAAGGCTGAGACTCAAAACATGGTCGGCCATGTGGGAGATCAGTACCTTAACCACCATGCTCCCTGCCAGCCCCTCCTCATCTTAAATGTAAAATTGGGCACAATGTGCATGAAGGTGGAAAAGTAGGAGAGGTTTGGGGGAAAAAGAAAGATTAAACAACACAAGAATGTATGTAAAGCAGTGGAAATGGTTATGGAATAGTGTACCATAGCAGAGTAAATATGTTACTGATCATTTCTGTAATTCATACTTCAAAAAGAAAAACTAGTGCGACGACTATGGAATGTGCACATGATGCTCAATATCAAGGAAGATGAACACATCTATACCCTGGACAGGATGGTACACACTACATGCACGCTTCGAGAAACCACACTGCACCCTACAAAGATGGGCAACAATGACATGTAAACCAAAAATCAAACTTTTATATTTTTAAAAGGTTCTTTAAAATACTCTAAAATTTAGAACAGATTATCCATATACGGCTATCCAGCAATACCATAAAGTACACATTTAATAACTAACTTAGACCAAATAAACTAAAATTACTTACATCATCTTCATATTTAATGTGAATGTCTGTGATTTTTACTTGTACATTTTTTATTACTTGAGTGGCCAATTTTTCCAAAAATGTATCTTTTTTGGCTTCTTTTGGCTTATCTATAAAAAAAGAGAGAAATACAAGCTCAGAAGTTGAAATTCTCATGTACTTCATAGTCAAAGATGAAAGGACAGCTACAGTACTACTTAACGAAAATTACAGCCGAAGTGTCCTTATTTTAGATTTATTTTAGATTTTAATATGCTTTCCCAACTTAACATTTATTTTGCTATTACAATGTTATCTAATATTCATTTTACCTTCTAAGACAGAAATCAAGCGGCAATGTGTATAAACAACACATGGCATAAAAACTACTTTTACCTACCTTTTGAGCGATCAAGACCTTTAAAAGGTTTCTTAAAATGTTTTTTGTGCTTTTTACGTTTACGTCCTTCTCAGTGGAAGCGTTTTAGTGAGAAAAGGATAAAATTCAAGTTAGCAGACTAGAGGACAGAAAAGAAAACAAGAGATTTCTTCCTGATAGCAAAGTTCAGTATAATTCACCTTACCTTATTCTAAACTGGCCTGATATTTCAACACAAACACAAATTCACAAACTTTCTTTTGTCTAGCATAACCTTCTTTAATCTAGAAAATAACATGCCAGGTGCGATGAGACAAAAATTGGATCCACCTGCAAAGCCCTTTTAATTATTTATGACATCATAATACAAATTTTCCCTTTAACTTCAACATTACCAAAATATTGGAAATGTAATAATGTCTTTATAAAACCTTCAGAGCAAGGTTTGGCACACATGTGGCAGGGACACAAATGAAATGAACAGGGAGGGTGATGAGAGCTGATTTCTGTGGATGATATGCCTCCCAAGCAAAATTATTCAGTGACTTGGTGACATAATGCCTATCAAAGGGGCATAAAATGCACATTAAACTGTACGTGGAATAAGCTTAGAGGTTCCTTTTAAACCCCATCCTCTTTCATTTTGCACTCCCTCACTGCACTGGCATTTACCAACACTCGTGTAACTCAACTTTCAAATCTTTGTATTCCACTGCTTACTGACATCACCTCTAGGGAGAATGTGAGGCGGTCCCCACTGTCTCATAGCCTCTACTCTCCATCCTCAGCTCCTACTAAAGATCCTTCCACACCGCTACCAGAATGATGTCTTCCAGAACACGACTCCCAGCCTGTTAACCCTCTGCTCAAAGTTACTTAAAGGTTTTCTGCAGCCTGTTTACACGACACAGAAAATCCTTCTGTGACCTGACCCCTCCTCCCCGCCATTCTAGCTCCTGTCACTCATCTTTGTACTGGATACCACATAGACATTATTGATACTGTCCAAACAAGCCACGTCCTAGTGTGTGCTGCTTCTACACGTCATTGCCTGAACTCAGAATATTTATGTCAGCGCTCAAGTTCTTCACCGAGCGAACTCATAGGAGGCTCCCAAATCTCAGGTCTCATCTCTGAAGTTATTCACCAAGCGAACTCACAGGAGGCCCCAAACACAGCATTACCTGTACAGAGCCTTCTTCAACCCCTCTAAGTACTCCAGGGCCATATCTTACCCAGAATTCTATTGAACAGTGATCACACTGATTTTTAAGTGTGTGCTCAACTGTCTTGCCATCATCCAGGTGGCTTCATCAGGATAGGGATTATCTAATATCTGGGTATATTAAGAAGCACATAATACTGATCCATCAGATGAATCAAAAAGATCTATATTTGAACATATACAGATAAACAATATATAAGCTCAAGGTCACACATATTTGAGAAAGTATATGTGAAACCCAGTTTAAAATTTTAATTTGTTCTTCTTTGATATATTAAAGCAAATTGTCCTGTCACTACAAAAATTAAGGACCAAATCCTTAATTATGAGAATAAAATCTTGAGTTTAAAGAATAAAATATTTTATAAATATGCACAGATTCTGGATGGTGTTATTACTGGCATTTCTTGCCATAGTGACAGTCCCTGACTATTCATTAATAAATAAAGCATACTTTTAAAAACTTTTAAAGAAGCGCCATTTGAAAAGAAACAAGATAGACCAGACTAGCCATGAAAATCACCCCCTTGTAAGAAGCTTTCAGAGACAGGTCCCGCTGCCTGGTTTCCACCCTCTCCGTGCCTGGCCTGTTATCTTTCTGTGTCACGTGTGTTTTACGCCATGTCTTTTATCTCAATGTTAGATGCACCATGTTTAAACCTCTCCAAAGCGTCCAGTCTAACTTGTGTGCTACATAGCTCTTTACAGAAACCTTCTAAATAATTCTGATGAATATGATTCTCAGCCATGCTGTAAAGAAGTCCTCCAACAGTTTGGTCTCAGGATCCCTTTAATACACTTAAAACCTGAGGATTCTAAAGAGCTTTTTATTTGTGTGGGCTATAACTATTGCTATGTTTCATATGGAAATAAAAACTGAGGTTTTTAAAATATCAATTCATTTAAAAATAGTAATAAACCATGATATAATAACATAGATAACATGCGGTTATAAAAAACAAATATATTTCACAAACAAAAAGCTATAGTGAGACAAGTGGCTTGGTTTTCTGTAGTGAGAAGAGTGGCTAGGCTTGCTTTACACTCATACAAATCTCTTTCATGTTGGCTTATTAGAAGAGAGCTAGATTCAAGTATATGCTTTTGCCTTCAATCTGTTGAGATAAGTTATTTTGAACAAAATATATGATAAAAATCTGCTACAGACATGCAACTGGAAAAAGGAGCATTTTTCAGGGCCTTTTCATTCAATTATGGATACTACACCCAAACTTAAAAAGTAGAATTGTTTTTTGTTAAGGTTTTTAATAGGGCACCTAAGAGAGATTACGATAGAGAGAGGGAAAGTGAGAAACCTCCCTGACGGAGGATGGCCACACCACAATCCCATCTCCTCCATTCTCCTCTCAAGATTTTGGGCACACATGCACATGTGCCCAGCATGATTTTCATAGTCCTGGGATGCAAACGGTGGTCAGCCATGTGGGAGTCCAGAGCCTTAGCTACCATGCTACCTGCCGGCCCCCAAGCAGAAGATTTATTTAATTTGCATTGTAGAATCTGAACCCCTATAAAAAGAATTTTTCATCCAAATTAAAATCAATTGGTACCACCTGCACTTTAAATGGATCTTTAACACATGTATGACTTTTTATCATGGAAATACAGCTTAAATGAATAATGGACATCTTCTGAATATTGATCCATCTCATTATCTAATATCAAAAGTCACATTTGTTAATATTACCACCAATCTCATCATAAAAGTCTTTAAGTACTAGAAGCTGGAAAGCTCACTGTAATAAACACAAGTTCTTAAAAATTTAAGTTTTTACTTAAAAGCTCCAATTTTATCAATGGCAACAAATATTGCCAGTTGCTTTTACTTGAACTTGTTTTGCTGATGTGTCTATCAAACGCCTAAATCTGAACAATGAATCTGCCCACCATTCTTCCAAGTGAAATGGTTTTCCATGGAAAAAAAGCAGCTAGCTCAGCTGACTGCTCCAACTCTGCACAAGCGCTTTTCCTTGAGATCATCGGCCTACTGCAGTGTACAGAAATGCTTTATGGATACTTTCTCTTTTGTTGCACAAATATAGGAACATGCTCAAGAGCTAATGCTTATTAAAATTAAAATTTTCCCATGATTTCATCAAGAAATTATTAAACAACATGGGGACTTTTTATCTCTTATTGTGAGTGCCCAAAAGTGATTGCCAATAGCTACCTGCTACAGTCTGACTCATGCTAGGGCAGCCAGCAATTTTACACCACACTGCTTTTGCACCAAACCGTGCAAATGTCAACAATGAACAACCAAGCGATGTTATTATTTAAGAGTGTAGACTTTTTGAGAAACCTGCTCTAGAATAAAAATAAAGTTTAAAAAAACTGACACCGAATGAGAAAACCCTTTCAGAAACTGCAAAGAGGGGACTCTCATGGAAAAGCAAGTGCTCACCAACTGAATGAGGAATCAACAAAATTAACAGCCCTTTATTTTACAATCACCAACAGTTTGAATCTCATTTTTTATCCAGTCTGATACACCTGGGGGGGGAGGGGGGAATAACTGTATCAACTGGATTTTCCTTTATAGCCACCCCAGTGGGCTGATTTTTAACAATGTTGCTCAATTACCTTGTGAAATACCTAAAATCGGCTGCTGGAATTCATTTGTATCTCAGAGTTAGGTTATTCCCATAAGAATCAGAAAACACTAGCACTGGCAGACTACAAACAGCTGTTTCAATTACAACCTACACAACCTCTCAGTGACCCAGAGTATCTTTTATTAAACAAAGTAAGCATGTACAAAAAACAGCAGTCACAATAAAGGGGTATTAAAAGAGAAACGGCTTTCCTGGTAATTTCACTTACTCCTGTGAAATCTGACACTCAAATTCGTCTTCCGCTTGTCACAACAAATCTACTAATTAAAGTGTCTAACCACTGAAGTAATTCTATCACAGTGCTTACTTTTTAAATGTCAAAATACAGACCCTGCTTACCATTTATTCAAAACAAAGTTTTACTATGCTGAGTTTTAAAACGTTTCAAAGATCAAATAAATACTGAAAGTATCAAAAATGATTAGTTTAATGTATGTGGTTGATTTCCTAGTATAAAATAGTCTACAATAGTGAGGCTCCAATTTGCCTTTTGTGAAGTTTCAAATTTCAATATGCGGTACAGGGCAGTGGTCTACAGGTGCCTCTGGACCTTCTACATAAGCGCAAAAAATCAGAGAGGGTACGAAAAGAAGCACAGAGAAACATTTCCCATTATGCTTCTAAATAAAGCTCACTCAAAAAGACCAAAAACAAGTTCCATTTTACTGCTTTTTACAAGTCTGAAAGCCATGGCTATAGGAGAGAAAACTGCTTAATTGAAACTGCTATACTAGAGAGCTAAAGTCAAAAAGGCAGTGCAAATTTGAAAGTTAATCTGTGGATCAAATTGTGAGCTTCACAAAGACAGTGAACTGTGTGTGTTCACCCAACATCCGGTACATAAGGAGACAATCGAATACTTAGTGAATGAGTAAACAGCTGCAGGGGGCAGGGAAAAGGAACGATGGTAAAGGTGAAACATGAATTACATTTCCATATTTTCTAAAAGGATGGCACACCATCAAACAGACTCCACTAAAAGCGCAGCATGGATAAAAATATAATTTTTATATAGTCAAATATAACTAACCATGCATACCCACCAGGCTTGACGTCCTTGTAAACAAAGTTTTCCAAGCCATATATGAACTCCCCTGAGTGCACGCCTGCATCCGCACGACAGCAATAACCGAAACGCAAAGCATTTAAAAGATCTTTCATTTCGCATGTAAAATATGCCTAAACTTAATTGCAAAGAATTAGAAATCATGTAACAGGATAAGTAAAACTGAGTGACAGAAAAACTACTTATTTCTAAGGAAATATTCACAGTAACATGCAAATTTTATTTTCGTCATAATAAAACACATGTTCTTAATTTTTAAAACGATCTTGATTTGAGCAAGATAGGCAAATATGAACTATAGCTAATGTCTCATTGAAATCTTCCGTGAATCTTCAAACAGCAAAAATCTGCTATTTTGGTTCTCTTTTTGCCTGATATTTTGCCCATTTTCAGAATGAAATATTACTGTGATGTCAGTTACTGATACAAATTTTAGAACCATTTGAAATGTCCTATTTTAGTGGCATCTGTTCCCATTAAATACACCCTCTGAATCCTTCATAAAAATTCATTCTTGTTCAAGATGGCTATCTTCCATTTCCCTCCCCAAATCCAGCCTAACCTGGGTATCACTGCAAGTTTAACCTCCCTAAATCATAGTTCTGATGAGGTGACTCCCTGGATTTTCAAAGAAAGAAAAAAGAAAATTTGCTGACGTCCTAAGGTTACAGCTCACTACTTCACGGGGTTAGAGTACAGGACCTAGAGCCAGATGAGGTTCAAGTTCTCTAACAGCTGTACCATTCTCTAGCCTGTACCCTAGAGCAAGTTGTTTAACTTCCCGCTTCCTCTGACTGTAACAGGGGAACATCACAGCGCCTATCACAGGGCTAGGACTAAATAAGCTAATTCATACGAAGCATCCTGAAGAGTGGCAAATAGTAAATGCTCAACAGATGCCAGCTGCTATCACTGTCTTACCATTATCGTTACACTTTCAAGTCTCTTCAAACTGACCTAAACTAGCTTTCTGACTTCACGCCCAACTACACTGTACTGAACTCTCAAAACCCTTAGCTACCACTACCAGACACTCTACCTCGCCGCCTTGGCTGACCCGCGATCCAGAATGCCGTCTCTCCGTCTGGCACACTCGGCCTCTAGACCCGGCAGAGATACACACCTGGTCTGCCCTGGTTTCTTCGGCCCAACATGGTATGCTCATTCTCAACTCCCGTTAACCGTCTCTGTACCTCCCTCTGATGGACTCGAAGCTGAAGACATTGCCTTCAAAATTCTGGTGTTTAACCTAGCATTTTATTACCATACAAATCAAACAACTGTAAAAATAAAATACAATGACATTCAGTCTTGAAAGGAATTTCAAAGGTGTATCCAGGGAATCTTAAAAGCTACTAAGGTATGCTCCAACAGAACAAAGGAGCCAACTAAGGAAAGGAAAAAAAGGCAAGGGTCTCAGGAATCAGTGAATTAAACACAGAAGGACAATAAAACCTAGTCCCAGGATGACAACTGTTTATCAGGACTAAAAAAAGACAGCCAACTCAGAGGGAGCACTCCAAGAGACAAGCAGAAGGTGGAGAAGACCAACAGCTGAAAAATAATGACACTCCTATAACAAATTTCATGGAGCATGTGAAAAGAATAAAAAATAAGTTACATAGAAGGCAAACAAACTTTAAAAAGCAATACTGACAAATTCAAGAAAAATAAAGTATTGTACAAGAAACATAATCATAGTATATAATTTGAATTTTGCAGTGAACAATAATTACACTCTCATAGTAATGTTAACTATTGACTAGTAATTGGCCAAAAATTATGATAAGCCCAAGTATAAGAAGATGATGAAGAGGGAATTAGTGTTATTTTATGATTAGCATAACAGGAAGTCCTAATAAATGCCTTACATGAATAAACTAAATGATGACAGAATGCTAATATTGCTAAAAAATATGGCTCCCTTAAAGGAGGGAGTCTGGAGGGTAACCAAGGATAAAAGAAGGGACTGCCATTTTTTACCGTAAGTTTTTTTAACAAAATTATTTGATTTTTAAGTGTCTATTACTTTGATGAAATTAAAAAATTAAATACAGAATCTAGCATTTAGCTTCAAAAGGAATGTAATCATCCTACACACTTTGTAATAGCCTTCCCAGGAAAATAAACTTACTCAAATGAGCTCAAAGGAGAAAAATACCAAGGAATTTATTTTTACAGTTAAGCAAATTCTCTAGAAATATACTCGTAGTTATATTTCAATGTTTTTTTTTTTTTTTTTGGAGAGGTTTT